CTAATTTATTTGAATGATTCAACCTATTTTACTAAAAATCGACGTTGCTCGTCGTTTTAAAGCCGGAATCGATAAAATTTGTATTTCACAAAAAGTTGACGACGGCGAGGAAAAAATTCAACAGCTTTCACAAGTTCCGCATTCTTTATCGTCTCTAAGTTGTATACAAGGATCAAGGAATGATAATATGTATGCAGCGTGTTCATAAAGCTATAATAATAAGCTTACAAAATAATCCTGAAAAACTATACAGTACAGAGAAATAGGGTTAAAAGTACGTTTTCCGCGCCATCATTTAGTTTTTCAAGGCTTCGATCTACAGCTAGGATACGACGCGACGGAGCAGTATTCCGCTTTCCGCATGATCAAATCGGAAATGAAATTCTGCCACGGTCGTGTAGATGCTGAATCCAAATGCATTCTTCGAATAAATTTCAATGAATACGTGAGAAGCGGTGTGAAAATGCAGGCTCGCAGTACAACGAAAGCATTGCGCAAGAATGAGGAATTCGGAGCACTGTTTCATACAGCACAACGCGGCTTCCATCATGCAGCAGTACAAAAATAATATTAGCACAGCAATTGCATGGGGATGATCTATACATAATTGTGATGATTAAATGATTCATTAGGTCAAGAAAGAAAATTTGGATAGTTGATTCATCCTGATATGCTAGCTGTTAAACCGGATTAAAATTTGCAACTCCATGATGATGAATGCTACAACCTACTAGCTTCCTAGCCGTTGAAAAATATATACCACGGTTCATGTTTAAATTACTCGCTCGAGAAATTGTTGTGTCTAAGTATGATGAAGAGTCAATTCGTACACTGGTCCACAAAAATTACATTTTTGAAGGAATGCAGACTACTTTCATCATCGGCACTGGAATATACAAGGGTTGGTTCATAAAAGATGATAAACTGCCACTTGCGGTCATCGGAGGTGGATGTAAGAGAGCGAACGTTCTTCGAGATTTTCGCGAGATCTTTGTGTGTGTTTCGATATATACCAACTTTAAAATAGGGTGTTTTGCACCCCGGTCGTAGCCCGACCAAATTCTTGTGTTTTATTTAAAACTTCACTTTACAAACTCTCAATCCTAAATTCTAAATCTTTACCTTGTCGGGATTTATTCCCAACAGCGGCTACATCACTTTATATTGACTGGAATGAGCTACTACAGTATAAGATGAGCTTGATTCCCCCTGCATTATACACGATACAATTCTAATGGCTAATTTGTAAAGGAGCAGACATATGGTTAAAAAAATGACGGTAAGAAATGACTCTTATTGTGTATACAGAATGATACAGTAACAGAGGTTTTTTGTAAATAAAAATTCCACCATAACTGATGTTATAATTCTGCATGCCGTATATCATAATGAAAATCAATTTGATTCCACTTATTTGGGTGTAATTAAAATCATATTTGTCATCATGAGCTGGATATACAGTATACTGTTTATTTTTTTTAAAGGACGAATGCCTGCTGCTGTCTACATAAGTTTTACATTTCTTAAATGCTTTCCTTGAAACTAGCATTTATTTCAGAAATTAAGAACTATCTTTTACAACTTGATTTTCTTTTCGATTTATAATCGACTTAATTAATAAGACCGATTAATTCTAAATGTAATGGAAAAAATAATAATTCGCGTGCAAACTCATGGCGGCATCTGAAGCATATTGCGAGTTCTGCTAAAGGGAAAATCAATTCAGCTGCAGAAATGGCTGAAAAGTTTACTCTTCGAACAATCAAACCCCCATGACAAAGATATCCCTGAGGCAAATAGGGGCTATACAATTATTTAAAATCTGACGTACGTCAAGGAACCCGAACAGTACCTCGAACAACTATACCTCACATATTTTTCAGAAGCTCAATTAAAAAAGAGAACCAATGCCAAAACTATTATATATAGACATATTTGAATACGTCATTATTATAACGCGCACCTACCTATCAAGAGAAAAACATATTAATAATTATATTCAATTTAATAAGACACGCTTTCATAATGGCATCTTTTCAGGCAAAGAAATGAAAGACTGCATACATAAAATAACGTCAACATGTTATGAAGATGACATTTTTTAACAAATTAATTTGGGTGCTAGTGACCACTACGACAGAACAAATACAGCTGTAGTTCAGTTTTGCATCGTAATTTTAATCTTATTTTTGGAATAAAAAAAAACCTAGATTTTGCATGGGTTCATTGGGCATTGCCATTGTGAAAAAGGGTTCACAAACCATAATAGAAAGTCTGAACTACATATATCTGTCGTCTGCATAAAAGTGTGAACGTTATCCCGTACAGTATGTAGAACATGGACAAACGCTAATTGAGCAGCATGTACCGAAAATGACAGCAATGATCGTCCATTCACTGCATGCATTCACATATATACATGATCACTTTCTTTGATCAATTGGTAGATAACACATACTGCATCAGGAAGCTTTTGTGGTTATCAAACACATATACTATACGTAATAATAACTGAACGGAATTTGTTTAATAATGTTGCAATCGTTAACACAAAACAATTGCTGACGCCAGCACGACTGCGTACATTTTTACACCATAAATCGAAAATAATTATACAGTACTCTAATTTATTTGAATGATTCAACCTATTTTACTAAAAATCGACGTTGCTCGTCGTTTTAAAGCCGGGATCGATGAAATTTTTATTTCACAAAAAGTTGACGACGGCGAGGAAAAAATTCAACAGCTTTCACAAGTTCCGCCTTCTTTATCATCTCTAAGTTATACAAGGAATGATAATCCGTATGCAGCGGGTACACGGATGATGGTGTTCATAAAGCTATAATAATAGGCTTACAAAATAATTCTGAAAAACTATACAGTACAGAGAAATAGGGTTAAAAGTACGTTTTCCGCGCCATCATTTAGTTTTTCAAGGCTGCGATCTACAGTTGGCGGATACGACGCGACGGAGCAGTATTCCGCTTTCCACATGATCAAATCGGAAATGAAATTCTGCCACGGTCGTGTAGATGCTGAATCCAAATGCATTCTTCGAATAAATTTCAATGAATACGTGAGAAGCGGTGTGAAAATGCAGGCTCGCAGTACAACGAAAGCATTGCGCAAGAATGAGGAATTCGGAGCACTGTTTCATACGGCACAACGCGGCTTCCATCATACAGCAGTACAAAAATAAATTTAATAGCACAGCAATTGCATGGGGATGATCTATACATAATTGTCATGATTAAATGATTCATTAGGTCAAGAAAGAACATTTGGATAGTTGATTCGTTCTGATATGCTAGCTGTTAAACCGGATTAAAATTTGCAACTCCATGATGATGAATGCTACAACCTATATACTAGCTTCCTAGCCGTTGAAAAATATATACCACGGTTCATGTTTAAATTACTCGCTCGAGAAATTGTTGTGTCTAAGTATGATGAAGAGTCAATTCGCACACTGGTCCACAAAAATTACATTTTTGAAGGAATGCAGACTACTTTCATCATCGGCACTGGAATATACAAGGGTTGGTTCATAAAAGATGATAAACTGCCACTTGCGGTCATCGGAGGTGGATGTAATTTTTTCGTTTGCTCTTCAATCCTTCATTTATAGCGTCTAATAAATTTTGCATCGCCTACCCAGCTACAGAAAGAAACAAGAAGAAGACCTGGATCACAGTGAATGCCCTCAACTGATAGTGAAGCTTACCACATAACCCCCGAAGTTGTAGATGAACATGCAAATAGGCATTCAGCCGCTGCTCTTGATCAATTAAACTTCACTTCAGTGGAGGGGATTCACTGTGATCCAGGTCTTTTTCTCGTTTCCTCCTGTAGCTGGGTAGGCGATGAAAAATTTATTAGACGCCAATGAAGAATTGATGAGCAAAAGAAAAAATTGCATCCGCCTCCGATGACCGCAAGTGGCAGTTCATCATCTTTTATATGAACGCGTATATATGTGGGAAGCTTGAGATTTATTTCCTAGCTACTGTATATGCTCTTATCTCTGCAGAAAAAGCACTTCTCCAAATCTCCGTCGGAGAGTATTATAAAAGAAAGCAGTACTGTACAGCATTGAGTTGAATTAATTATCCGGTATAAGACTCAAAAGCGAAAAGGGATATTTCAACATGGCAAATTCAATATTTCTCCTGTGCATGCATTTTCTCCATTTCATTTACTTTTTTTTTAGGTGTGCTGCCATACTTTTCTGCGGGCTATCTTCCCAGCAGATTTTCTCCAGACGGATTTGCCCTTATATGTTCGAGAGTATTCACACAAATTGGGTTCTCGTCCTTGCTGGTTTGGCTTCCCTCTCGTTTGAACGCAAACCAATTTAAAAGTTCAAGGGAGCTATTTACAGTATAATGTGCCTTAAAATTAATTTTTCCTGAGACAAGTTGTCTGAATCTTCTACTCAAAGAATGCAAATGTTAGGCAATATTTTGATGACAAGTTAATTGAAAGCCAGAATCAAGTGGTACCTTGGATATTATTAACGAAGTCAGCAAGATACAGCTGTAATTGAAAGAGTGGAGCATGCAGGAACCAAGCTCTCGGAATCAAAGGAAAAGGCAGGAGTGAATTAAATTTTAGAAAGCAATCGCTTTTGTTCCTTTCAACGAAATCATTGAACAACTAACATACTGATATATGTTATTCATTATCGTCAGCACATATAGTACCTTAAATTTGGATGTAATGAGCTTCCATTTAAGTTTCAATTACAGTAGATATTTGCAGTTTTGGTCCACAATGTGCACCGTATTTTTCCGACGTCATGATTCCCCTGATTGAGTCAGAATCTCAAAGTTGTGAGAATACTGAACTGTACTTGCTTAGCTTCCTGCCAGTCAGGGTTTCCCCAACAAGCAGCACCACATTTCAGCATGAAAGGCCACACATGGAGACCCATTAAACAGAATGATGGACTTTTCAATCCCCAGACTATCGTGGAGTGCAACCGTAAAATAAACGCTCAGTAAAACGACCATCAAATAATCCTCTTTACTTCACATCCATTTCATGCCAATAAAAGCACTCCCGTTGAAATTTGCCAATTGCACCCGATTTCTAAAACAGTCTCGCCACTATAACATCAACTCAATGCGTAAAGCGCAGGAATGTGAATATTCAATACACTTCCGCAGACGACAAAAAGAAGCGAGCTTCAAGCGCTATATCACAATCAGTTCAAGCTATCGTGCTGCAAACATTATCAAACTTTAGAATTCACAAGAAATCGACAGTGGTCGCAGACGGAGTCAGGAGATTCGGAAGGCATTCTGAAACCTTCTGTGCTTGTGCAATAACTTGATCGGCGAATAAGCCAGTGCTTCCGGATGACACAAACCAGCAGTACAACTCTTTCACGATTACACGAGGAGCTCTGATGGATGAAGCAGGCGTCGCGGACGACGCTGAATGCGACGGTACAGATGCACGGGACGTTGAAAAGCTTTCTCTCGCGAGTACGCTAAAAAAGGCATAAGCACAATCGACTAACATCAATTCCGATGACGCAAGCATTGAAAAACATGCCCCTGAATTAAAAAAACACAGATCCCAGGTTTTACATTAGGGTAAAAGAATGTGCCTCTTCCCCAAAAAATTATAGTTAGAGTACAGTAAAGTACTGTACAGTAGTTTCAAAAATAAAAAGAGAGGATATTCATATTTTCACTGGCTGTTCTTGAAAAGATACTCGTACATCACCAGTCGTTAACATTTTTTGACAAATATTGGATTCATCTCAGCATGATATTCGAACTTTTCAATTCATGCGAATACATTGATTTTTACTTAAAATCGTAAGATTGAAAGATTCTACGAAGATATTCAATTTGGCAAATTTTCTTTGACAAACTTGAATCTGCCACTTCTGAATATTCAAATACAAGTTGAAAAATATTGATATTTCATAGTAAACATTGAAGCTTGGGTTCATGCTTCAACTCTTTCGAGATCCTTGCTTCCCTAGAGATCTTAAAAGGGATCGTAAAAGATCATGAACTTATGACATCAAGCTGGGAAAGACAGCCCTGGGAAAGACATTGAAAAAATTGATGGACGATTTTTTCAATAATCATATTGAAATATTAGGTGGGTGTTGATAAAACAAAGAAAATGAATCAAGATAATTCTTTGAAATTATTTCATGAAGTCAAGTGCTCCACCCTTGATTGTAATAAAGTACTTGGCCCACAAAATAAAGAAAAAAAAAACACTGCCGCAGAAATCAGACACCCATTGCACAACAAATTCAGACTTCGAAAAATTAGTGGATAACTAGATTGCAGCATAAAACAATCTGTGTAATACTGTACTAAAAAAAGGAAAGAATTATGAAACTTACCTAAAAAAATTGACGCCTATGACCCCGGGATATGGCAACAGTGATGCGAAATTTTTACTCTCGCGACGAGGCAGCAAAGCGTCTCCCTAATTGACACACAATCAATTAGTAGTGATATTAAATTCCGTTTCGATTTAACGCGAAGACAATAAATTGGAAACAATGATTTTAAAATGCTTACCGAAACATTTTCAAACCACAGATGGTATGAATACACGTAGCTCTTATCCCGCCATATGATCGTATGATTTCCTCGACTCAAATGCGTCCGAACGAGGGTCACAGCATTTTCAATTTTTGCCCAGGGAAACGCTGAACATCCATATGCATTTTCACTGCCGTGCCCTGGACAAATCGCTTGATTCGAACGACGATCAACAAACACGAAGTGTACAAGCGAAGGGAATTCTTCTAGGAACGCGACCAAATCAATGTTGAGCGATGCTTTGACGCACAGAAAATCTGCAAAATCCCCAAGCTGTAATCTTGCTTTTCTCGCCACAAATTCTTGGAGGGAATCTACTCCATCTTGCAATTCATGATCATCCAGACAACACAGGCTGTAAAAGAAAATTCAAACGCGTAAAGGAAATTTAAAATATATTTGAGATGACGAAGGGGAAGTAAATCAATGAAAACAAAACAATGCGACGAATATACACCTCATGATGACAAGAAATTCCACTCTTTTCATCTAGCATTCTAGCCTGAACAGGATGCATAATTCCATTAAATCTTTATCCGCAATATTCAAATAAGGCGGCGAATAACTCGCGGAAATGTTTCGATAATTGCACAGTATTTAACCATCCTGCCACAATTGTAAAAAGATAAGAGCTAAAAACAAAAACACTCACCCGAAACATTCTTGAAGAGTATGGACGATAACGGCCAAGAGCGATTCGTATTTCACGAGTCTATTCTTGAGAGAAGCCTGAGAAGATTCTCTTTCCTGAGACTGTGGAGATTGCTCTTTTGATCCACTCTGTTTCGTTCTCAAAACACAAGCTGCACAATAATCTCTCGTAAACGCATCAAAGCCGTTCTTCTTTGCAGTCTCCCACTGCGCGGCAAGATTTCGCTGAAATCTAACCAACTCTGGTGAAGGAGTTCCTAACTTTTTGGCAAGCAACAAAATTTTCTCAACTTCTGCACCAAGATCAAAAGCTGGGGCGATAACTTTTGTTTTGAGCACTGCATCTAGTGCTCTCAAGGTAGAAACTACGTTAGAAGCCAGTTCGTCCTTTTTCGTTTCACATATTGTAACTAAAATGACTTCTCCGAAAACAGGACACGCATATACGAATCTGGGAACGCTTCTTTCGCCACAAATAGCATCGTGAAGCATCACAATACGGGCCATTGGGGCATCTTTGTCAATGTCGGGACGCCTCCGGTGCGCCGTAACTAACAGAGTCGTCAAAAGCATATCAGAAGCGCATAGATCCTCTTCTCCTTTTCTGTGAAAGCAAACACAAACTCAAGCTTTCAACATGAAAACTGAGACGATGAGTGTTTGTAACTTAAGAGAAACACTGAATCTTCCAATTTGGTGCGCCGCAACAAAGGCACTCAAGCAAATAAACGTGCAAATCCGAAATTACCGCGAAACCTGTAGCATTACTATTTCGTAATTTAAAAATTTTTTGACCTTGACAACTTCAGCAATTCTGAAAAATTAAAGCTAATCTCAGTATAGATGAGCACATGTCCAATTGCGAGTAACTCGTGCATTCCTTCAGGCTTTCAACGAGGAAAGAAAAGTGCACACAGTATTTCATGTTGTACAGCACTCAAACGAAGTGGGAGCTTCCTCATATTTCCTCTAAATCCCACATGAATACGTAGCCGTTCCGGAATCAATTTCCGTCCGGTAATTAAATAATTCCGAACTCAAGTTCCACATGAAGTAGATGAAAGTACTGTACACCCATAATTGGAATTTAACGAAGTTTGATTTCAAAATCTTGGGATCTGCAAAAATAAAGGCAGTTAAATTAATAGCCATTTTCTCCCGCATTTCGGTGGTGTTTTAAAAAATGCGTAAGAAAGAGGAATTGATTGTAAAAATTGCGCACCAAACCTTCCTTTTCATGCTTCAATTCCTATGGCGGATTAAATTTTCGGATGAAAATCATCATATTACTGCGACTAGGTGAGTACAGTACATCGAAGCACTTTCTACTTCTCTAGCAATGTTGAACATATTCCATCAAACGCTTCGCTGTTCCTTTCATGCGGAAACGGAGTTCTTAATCTTGCGGGGAATTTTTGCATGAATATTGAAGCATAAAAACATTGGACAAGCTAAGTAATCTTATATACGAAATGATCCACATGCAAAGCCAAGGACTTCACACGAACCTGGAATACAAGGCAACAAGCTTTGCTCCGGTGAGAAGAATAGCATGATTTGGCTTAACGGACAGTGGGGCATTCTCCCCCAAGCTTTTCAATGCCTTGTGAAGAACATCGACAACAACTCTATTAGCAGCAGGTGTAATCTGACATCGCTCCATAGCTTCGATGAGGAATCCAACGAATGAATTCCTCAGCTCGTCCCACGTATTCAGCATTGATTCCAAGATCTCAGTGACTTGGTATTCCTTTCTCAAACTTCAGAATGATCGAAATAAAAGACGAAAATTATCATCAATTAAAACACGAAGGAACTTATTTAAGCGCGTGCAACAGAAAGAAAGCACTCACGTTTCGAAGGATGGACCAAATAAAAACTCGAGAATATTGCGTGTGACAGTGGCTTTCCTCTTCAGATCGTCTTCCGACTCGTCACCAACACAAATGATGGTGCAATTAAATAGCTATGAACGTGAAGATATATTCAGTCATTAATTATACACAGATATATAACTGAAAAACACGAACTTCTTCAAATGCGAGTCCCACGGATCCCGGACATTTGACGTAGGTGTATGGATTGCGCAGATGCAATCCCATAACACGCTGAGTGGTAACGAGCGGTGAGAATAGTTGCACCAATGCATCTTTCGTGAGCCGCGAGAACCTTTTCCCTTCTTTTAATTCGCCAGTTTTCTATCAAAATGATACGAAGACCACTGCGGTATTAGAAAAAACTTAATCGCAAGGTCTAGTTCACTGATGCACTTACAGCAAGACCTTGTTTTTGAGCCACAATCGTGAAATGCTTGGTAAGATCGTCATCAAGCTGCCAGTAGAGCAGATCATTCAACTTGCTAAAAATTAAGACACCTTTCATAATGCTACCTGGAACGAATCGAGAGTACAACTTTCATGTCCTGTCCATAAATATGCCACACAATAAATACGAGAAACTGTATAAAACCCATTGTGGTTTGAAGTAACAAGCAAAAACCATAACTTGTAGAAGTAAGATAATAAAAGGACGAGAAAAACTGTTACACTCTCATGTGCCATCCACGACAAAACTGCACCAACCAACGAGTTTCCCCACGCATCACCGCGTCGGCAAACAAGTACTGTACTTCCTTCGTTTGCCTGGACGTCGAAGTTTCAGAAAATTTCAATCTCGAGAAGGCATCATTTTCGAAAAATCTAAAAGATTTAGTCCCCTGAGCGCTTCAATCCTATCCTTGCATCTGCTCAGCATTTAAACGAGAGTTCTCCACATCATAAAAAGAATTTTTTAAAGCCTTAAATCGTTTTGAATTATATTTTACACCGGAATGGGAGCAATTTCTCGTTTGAATTCTTGCACGCAGGCCCAATCCGCATTTGAAGTAAAAGATACAGCAGAAGGGCAAAGATTATCAGAATAAATTCAAATGTCTCTGATTGTAATAATCAATCGAACAACAAAAAAGCTTCCATCAAATCTAACCCTCATGAAGAAACACTTGAAACTATTCTATTCGACATGTCGGCATGCAGTTCGATGTATAATGAAGGAATTTAATAGCAAACGTAATTTATCTCAAATCAAGCACAAATAAAACTGGCGATGTTTTTGATTGAATTAAATCGAGATTGAAGATAGTTCACTTCAACCTGAGTTGAGCCTCCATCAAGCGGATTCCTATTTCCAGGAAAACCCATGGACAATATGCCTTGTGCTATTACATACTGGGGCTACGCACCTGATAAAGGACATAAACACATTTGAATTCTCATGCTTTCCACAAAAGATTTTCTAACTTCTGGCAGGAAGTATTTATATGAGTGATCACCTCATGAAAATTACACCATTCACATTTTCATGGATTACCCTACACAAATTAGGCCATATTCTTTGACTCAAGAAGATGAATTGTTTTGAGATAAATTTGAATTGAGTCAGTTGAATGAATATTTGACTTAGAGAGGTTCTACTGCATCGAGTCAGGTAAATGTAGATTTTGGAGTTGAAAGTTATACGACATCGATACGTGCGAGAACACCTCTAGAGATGCAGATTAGGCGTAAGATGACACACTGAAGTAGCAATAGAAAAACTTCGAATTTCACGTTTTCCAACCCCAAATAAGCAACTGAATTTCAGACATACAACCGAACAGGTCCGAGAAAACAAATAAAACAAGAAAATTTGCAACAGTATCACGACACGAAATCAAATTTTCACTTGCGGTATTGGTTCACTTCCATTTTCCACCAAAATAAATGAAAACCGTGCTTCTTGGGGATAAAATTATAACAATCAAACAAGCTTTTTCGCTTGGAAGAAAGATTTCAGATGTCTCATCTGCCAAAATCCAACGATTAGCAAGATCGCAACTTGACTGATGGACCACCAAAGAACACGCTGATTCGTGGATTCACTCGTCTGACGGAACCGCTCTTCTCGATACTAGAACACGTAAGAAACTACTGTAGGGCATTTGAAAAACTCCAGATGACAAGGGGTACTACTTACCCTCTGATAATTCTGCTCCTTTGTAATTTGTTCCACTTGATCCATAAGTTGACGAAGACGAAGTTGCAGTTCAGAAAGCTTTTCCTTTTGCGCTATTTGAGCATAATCGATTGCGTGTTCACCAACTTGAATGTCCAAATGCACACGCTGTAGAGCAAGGATCTTGACAAGTTACGTGCTCAAGAAAGGTAGAAAATCACGCTAAGAAAATATATTTGGGAGGGAAGTTGGGAGAGAACAGAATGTTTCCAACATACCAATTGAGATCCGGAGAACCACTTAGTCGAGTTGGAATACAAACATATCACATGCTCGCCAGGGTCATGTGAAACAAAGCTGAACCGTCCTTCAGCAGAGTAAACTTTCGAAAGAATCGGGCGATCGTCGGGATCCCTGACTTCAACATGCATACCAACACCCGGATTGGACGGCATAAAGCCTTTGGTTCGGGGATCGTACAGTTCCACCTTGTAAGTTCCTAAACAGAATTAATTAAACATCTCAGCCGGTTACTATTAATTCCTTTCTTCGGCCTTAATTTTGACCCATACCGACTACAGTGGTTTCATCCGGAATTTCTTCAATGAAACACTTGCGTTCCGTCTCACCAATGTGGAAATACAAGCCTAGCGCGAGGTCGCATAAAATACATTCGAGCACAAAAACCAGGAGAATGCTACGGGAAGAAAGCTTAAAAGCCATTCTTCCAGTTGAAGAGGGGGTTCCCCACGAAGAATCGCGTATCGTAAGTTTCACTAAGGGACATACAAGGCTGATGCAGATTTTGAATCTACAAATAAGAGAATCGGTATCAGTCAGAATATCAATAATTTCTCCACTAGAAATTCTTCAGTTCGATTGAGAAAGACTTAATGACCGGATTCCTCCAAAACTGCACAACACTCTCCTTTCACTGCTCAGAAAATGACTTTGTTGATGACACGTTAGATTGCATGCACGCCACACTTGCTTCGCCGTTCCTGGCTCGTCAGGTAGGAAACGTGAAGTATGTTTATCGATAACATTCACAGATGTCAGCATTGGGGGGAGGTGCTAGTTTAGGAATAGACCAAGCCAGTGGTAAAACATGGCGACGAGCATCTCCTTGGATGCTCGAAGTCCCCATGCTATGCTTACTATTGATGAGTACATTTAATGAAGAATACGATGTATTTCAACTAACTCGAAATCGCAGAACCGAAGAAACGGTCTTTAAAAAGCAGACGCGCTTCCAACACAAAGTATCCTACAGGTCGTCAGAATGCTTAGTCCTGAGCTCTGTGAAAACTTTTGTGTGAGCTGCGAGACAGTACAAATGCCCCGCAGTCATTTACTCATTATCTCTCCTCTTTCTTAACACAATACATAGAGCATGAAAAAGTTTGCGTGGATACCTCGAAAATTAGTTCCGATTTCCCAGTGAATTTCCTTGAATTTTTCACGTTGATCATGAAAATCGATCCCATAATCTATAAGCAGGATTATGTCGGAGGGAGATTTTGGCATTAGTATATTTTGGCCTCCACTTCCGTTTCGCCTAGTTGAAAGGAATGGCTCCCTGAACGTCCTTACCCATGAGGAGCGCAGATGTTCGGAAGGACGTGATGGGGGAATTCGCAGGGAAAGTGGGTTTCAAAGCTGTACTGTTCTGGCGTATCAGTCGAATTTAGCTTTTATGAAACACGATGTGTATTTCCGAAGATTATTCGGGAAAAGTGAGCAGGTGCGCATGTGTTGCTTTCATATTAGTACGAGTTGTGCAACGCGTTCGCGTTTCTCCTTTTGCAAACTGGCCTTGGGCGTTATTTTCTGGTAAATAATTTCAAAAATATTGTGTGTTTATTTCATATGATCGTTGAAACGAGTCACTCCCCATCGTGGTTGTGATTCATCAACTTCGATTTCAGTAGAAGTTCATCAGATATCCGTTTAACCCTTCCGGAAACAGTGTGACTCATAGCAAAACGTGTGTCGTATCGTATCTGGTGCATTTTCGTATTTCCAGATTTGTTTAGTTGTGCTCATACCAGTGTCTTCCCGAAATATGGGTGCATTCGGCCTGCTCGCGTTAGGCGTTTTGGCACTTGCAACGGTTGCCATATCCCAGAAGACATCACTAGAAGATCAGGGAAGTAATCCGTGTTCTGGAAAACAAACGTGCAGCGAATGCATTCAGACAGCTACTTGTGCGTGGTGCAGTCAATTGGTGAGACTAGCGAGCAGTAGGAGAATCTTTGGGTTGTTATATGATTATGTATTTCATGATTTCTTGCAGAACTACACCTCGCCAGATGGTGTTCCTATTCCCAGGTGTCATCAGCAAAATCGTTATCGAAACGATAAAACGAGCTTGATGTGTGATCCTCAGTTTTTAAAGAATCCAGTCAATGAAGTGAACCACATAAGAAATGTCGAGCTGACGAAAGGTGTTCAAGTTCCATCTTCGTCCGGTTCAGGGGCTTTTCAGTACATAAACGCGGTGCAAATCAAACCTCAACGAGTCAGCCTAAAATGCCGCATAAGTGCGTATTTCTGAAAATTATTTTTGGCCGTTGATGATTTTTTCATCAATAAGGAATATCTGCTCTTCAGACGAAGCTCAAGACCTCGAGGTATTCTATGCCCAAGCCGAGGATTATCCTGTCGACCTTTATTATTTGATGGATTTGTCCAAATCAATGGAGGATGATAAGGCGACATTGTCCAAGTTGGGCGTCAAGTTGGCCGAAGAAATGAGGAAGTTGACTTCTAATTTTCGGCTGGGATTTGGCTCGTTCGTCGATAAAGTGGTGATGCCTTACGTCAGCACAGTGCCAAAAAAGTACGTTTCGAGATCGAGTTGGAAAAGCTTCATTTGAAAATGGTTTCATGTCATGCCTGAGTTAAATATCTAAGATCATGCGCAGTGGTCAGAAATGATTTGTTGTTCAAACATCCGGGAGAGTATTTCCGGCTGAAGCCGAATTTATAAATTAATGTGTCCAAGACAGTGAATATGATTGGTTTTGTGTACCTTGGGTAAATATTATAGGCTGATCGAGCCGTGCGATGAATGTGCGGCTCCTTATGGATTCAGGCACCAGATGGCATTGGGTACAGATGGACAATTGTTCGCTGTGAGTTTATGGATTTTTACGCGTATTGGTGCTGGGAGAATATGTTCGAAGCACGAATGGGCGTTGGTTTCTTGTCATCATCTTCTTGGTTCTGTTGCAGCAAGCTTGTCACTTCTATGTTATTACACATGCTTGTATTCGTACGTTTCTTTTCGAAAAAATTGTTGAATTAGTTTGGAGAGCCCTTGTCGCGGTTGTGAAGCACCTTATGGATTCAAAAACGCATTGCCTTTAACCACCGAGGCAACTTGGTTCTCTGTAAGTGTTGTTCTGCAGCGCGCTTGGATTTTCCCCTCCGATTTGAAGAAAGGTCCCAACGAATATCTCATTACGTTGCTTAATTGTCGTTCTTACTGGCTAATATGCGTTCCTTGTTATATTTTTGTTTGAATTGGCATGCGTTGTAGCTGGTTAAGTTCCCTTCTCACGTGGAGCGACCGTTTTTCTCCAGTTCTTTCCTCTTCAGTCATCGTGTCAATAATATTTCGACCGTTTTGCTCGTGTACTAACAGCCACGCGTAAAAGCGGATAATCAATGGATTCGGTTGCTGTATGTTCTCTTCATAGTTTTGACGATGTATTCTACGTTCTTGCATGTTCTGAACGCCAGCAGGAGTATTTTTGCTGAAGCTTATTTATACCTAACAGAAAGAAGTACATGATGCGAGAGTGTCTGGAAACTTGGATGCTCCTGAAGGAGGCTTCGACGCCATCATGCAAGCTGTTGTGTGTACAGACGAAATCGGGTGGAGACCGAATGCCCGCCGACTCCTCGTTTTTTCTACAGACGCAAGCTTCCATTACGCTGGCGATGGAAAGGTGAGCGTGCGTGGGCGTTGTCTCGATTCTCGGATGAAGGCGTGGTCCTTGAATGATTTTTTTTTACGAGCCTATACCTAGATTGAGGGGTTCCTTCTCTTCCCGAGTGCTTGTTCTAGTTTTGGATTCACCTACTTATAATTTTGAGGGAATTCGATCGTCATTAGAACCCCCTATTGCACAGGCTCTGATTACCCATTCTCGAAGTTATATTCTTATACTTGAATGGAAACGAGTTATTTTCCTCTGATGGATGAGATATCCAGCCAAAGTCTCCTAGATTCCTGGATTTGCGTTCGTCTTACTTGTTTTCTTATGAATTGTATTCATTATTCAAGTACAGTTTAATTTCCTAATACAGGTATCTGATTCAGTACAGTCACAAATACAGTACTGTTCGTGATATTTCATCATACGGGCGAAGTCACCGATCATTTTGCTAGATGATAGGAGTCCTACTGAAAAATATCAAATTCCATTTTAATCATTTAAAATTTCCTCAAATCATGTGTCGTTGAGTTGTAAAAGGATTGCGGTATGTAGGCTGTCGTGGGTTTGCGTTTTTAATTTATGTTCAGAATGTTAGTTCAGCTTTATAGCACACCCTATAAAGTCACTATCTCGCTGCAGGTACTGTACATGCAATTTTCAGCTGTTCATTGTTTTACGATATATAGAGGGTATTTTCGTGGGGATTGATCACACATTTGTTGCAGCTTGGAGGAATCATCATGCCCAATGATGGCATGTGCCATTTAGATTCTTCCGGAAACTACACTCATTCCACAATTTTGGACTACCCGTCTGTGTCTCAAGTTAGCCAGAAAGTCAAGGAGCACCAAGTGAATCTCATTTTTGCTGTTACTGAAGAACAGCGATCAATTTATAATGCATTGGCGAGCAGCATCCAAGGGGCTTCTGCTGGAACCTTATCAAGCGACTCTGCTAACGTTGTTGACTTGATAAAGGAGGAATACAGGGTTAGTACAGCACATTATAATTGATTGATTATATTTTTCTGATGAAGTTTAAATGTTTTTCGTGCAGAAAATTACCTCAGCGGTGGAACTGCGTGACAACGCGACTGGACCTGTGCAAATTACGTATTATTCTAAATGTTTGGATGCAAACGGTCCCGAGCGTCAAACGTCCAAGTGCGAGGGTCTGCGAATTGGATCCAAAGTTCAATTCACCATTAACATCAAGGTATTCACTTCGTTCTGTTTTCTGGAATTTTTTTAATCGCTGCGCTTTTTCGAAAGGTTACCAAGTGTCCGAAAGACCCGAGTCAACGCAAGCAAACCATCAAGATTGAACCGGTTGGTGTCAATGAATCGCTCATCGTCGACCTAGAGATGCAGTGTGAATGTGATTGCGAGAAACCCGGAAATCCCGTAAGATTTTCAAGTCTGTATTTTCGAAAACTGAATAAATCATGTGTTTGATCGTATTATTTCAGGGATTCAAGCCCGCGATTTCGGCAAGGGAATGTAATTACAATGGAGATTTGAAGTGTGGAATTTGTGCTTGCAAAGAGCAATACCGTGGACGTGCGTGCGAATGCAACGCCACTCATGCTGATACTGATGATATGCAGGTTCGAATTAAGAGTATTGTACGTTTAAGTCAACCAATCGTGATCACTGGTCGCTCCATGCTATCCTGGTGATCCTTCAATGATTCCCCCCAAGTGCATGTTAAAATGAGGGGATTCGTTCGAAACTGTTGGAGATAACAGTGGTGCAGTGAATGAGTCATAATTCAGTGAAAAGAAGCGACTCATAACTGTTTCGAGAAATGACAGATTTTTTTGCGAAATTTTTTGATGAACAATTGTTCGGTTCCTTGAAGATTCCTTAACGTATCCGTTTTCCCAATTCAGGCGGGATGTCGGCCCGACAATCGCACAGAAATCCTATGCTCCGGGCGTGGAGACTGCGTTTGTGGTGAATGCCAATGCTTCCCGAGATCAAACCCCGAAGAAACCATATATGGGCAATTCTGCGAGTGTGACAACTTCTCCTGCGATCGTAACCGTGGACTTCTCTGTTCCGGACCTACTCAAGGAGAATGCGCTTGTGGTAAATGCAACTGCTTGGGTCTCTGGACCGGTCGAGACTGCTCGTGCCTGAATTCAACTGACGAATGTCGACGCCCCGGAGACAAAGAGTTATGCTCGGGACGCGGGAAGTGCGAATGCAACAAGTGCTTGTGTCATGAGACCGAAAGTGGGAACCGTTATTCCGGAAAATATTGTCAGCGTTGCAATGTAAATGACGTCGGAATGTGATACATTTTTTTTAAAAACTTCTTATCGTTGACATTTTTGATTTTCAGACTTGTCCTGGGCTTTGCGCGGAACTGAGGAATTGCGTTCAATGTCAAGTTTTCAAGAACGGTGCATTTAAGGATGACGAAGAGGCATGTAATAATTGCACCTTCAGAGCAGTGGAGGTTGACGTTCTTGAACGTGAGTATCCTATTTTGGTAATTTACCCGCTACCGCGTTGGAGTGTCCTTGACAAAGCGAAAAGAAGTGATCAATTAAAGGGGTCTGTCCGGACAGGTTGACTTGAATTCAACTTCTAGGATTATCGATCGCCCGAATTGAGTTTTCATATAAGCTGAATTTGTTTCGTCTTCTTAAAAAGCATGACTTTTCTGCGTGTCCTGATCGGGATTCTGTCCCTAATTTTCATTCTTATACGCATTTCTGTTATTATTTTTATTTGTTTCTGTTCAAAATATTTACCGGAATGTTTCTACGCAGCGAACAATACAAGTGAAGATGAACGGCTTTGTATCTTGATGGACGAAGATGGCTGCCAATTCCGGTTTGCTTATGGAACAAACGGTGCAAACAATCTCCAAGTGCGAGTACAGCGAACGAGAACATGCCCACCCATCATCAATATCATGGGTGTGTTTTCGTATGAAATATTCTTCAGTTTCTAAATTTCCGTGAAGCGTTCCTTTGTTTTTGGATGTGTCCGTACATTTTTGTATGGTTACGGATGTTTATCTTGGCAGGTATCGTGGCGGGAGTCGTGGCTGCAATTGTGGCGATGGGACTCGTTTTCATCTTACTGTGGAAAGTTCTGACTACGATCCACGACCGTCGAGAGTTCGCGAAGTTCGAAGAAGAAAGGCTTAAAGCTAGTTGGGAAGCGGTAAGTATTTTTGCTGTATATGTAAAATATACAGTGAATAATCGCGCAACTACTGTACTGTATACTTCGAACGCAGGAATGTATTTCTTTTTCTGATTACCGATCAATTCGGATGGAAAATTGATACTGATTTAATGTTCGTACTAATTTTTGATGATAGGTTCTAACGAAATCTGGTGCTGTCGCTCCCGTATGTAATGCCTTTAATCGTATACTTTGTCAACATTGCAGCTACGGGAACTCAACTAATCGAAATTTCACTTATCAAAGTTAAGCGACAGTCTTCGTTTTTCTTCACTCATCAACTCCTGAGAAACAAGAAGAAAAGTATAGAAATAATACTGGAAGTCGCCATGTTTGTGGAAAAAAATTACCACAAACTTCTGTTATCCGTTTTACGCTGTTTCTTCCGTTGATTGTTCAACGGAATATATCTTTGAAAGATGTCTGTTCGAAAATCGAATACTGTAATGCATTACTTGAAACTTCACGTTAAAAGTGTTGGATACTGAATTATTTTCGAAAACCTGGGCACGTAGATGCTGAACAATTCATCTATTTAATTAAATTTTGTCTATAGAGGATCTGCTTCTTTGTAATACGATTATTGGGAAATTATGGTATCAACACATAATATTTGTTTAACACGAATGTTTCCCTTTAATATTTTTTACAGGGTGAGAATCCTCTATACAAGCAAGCCACGACAACTTTCAAGAATCCCATGTACGGTGGGAAGATGTGAGCTAGTCTTGACTATTTAGAGCGATTCACGTTCGTTTCGACTGAACCTTTTACGCACGTGCGGGACTGATGCACATGCATAGACACAGGTTGACTGTTTTTTCAATTTACGGAGTAAACTGAAATCTCGTGCTCGAGGAGTCATTTAACATTTCTCATGGAACTGTATCGCTCGCGTTGTTGTGTTCAAAAAGAGTCTCGCGTGTCACGTTATGCTTGCATTTGAGGCGTGAGTGGAAGTGAGAGAACAATCCTTCGAATTTACCTTGTGCCTTTTTTCGCAGTTTCATGTGAGTAACTTCCGGTTGACTTTTTTGAAGTGCCAAAATGCTTCCGCTTGTGTGTTTGGAGGCTTGAGCTAAGTGATGCTTCCTTGACTTCCATCTTCGCTTCAACTTTTATCATAATTTTCTTATAGACCCCGTTTTTGGTTATCAAACTGAAGAATTACTAATGCTGGTCGTAAGATTAATGTGTTAAGTTTTTTAACTTTTCTTTGCTTTCAGATTTGCAACGAGAAACGATAGATCATTAAAGTATCTAGATCGCAAAAATCTTGATTTCGTTTTTAACATGGATCGCCTCATTTTGGAGAGTGACTCCTTCAATCAACAGATGAACAATAGTGAATAGAACACCAATTAAAGAAAACCGTTTGCTCGGGTATTTGAGGGCAAGCCAAATGGAACGACTGAATCGAACAAACTTGTTGAAAATTGACCTGTTTCGTCTCGGAGTGCCGATAATTGTCCAGAGGGCATTGATTTTGGAAGAAAACTTTTTAAATTTGACCCGTACGATTGACTTACGGATAGCTGAAGAAAGAGAAACTGATTGCTAATTTTTTTGCGCTAGGCTCGTTTGTGCTTGGCACCTCAAGCACGATTACTGGATTACAGTACTTGCGTATATCTGTTTAAAATTCCTTCTGGATCGTTCCCTGGTGAAGAAAGATACGCAGTATTATTTTGTTCTTTTTGTCGAATTCACGAGGAAACATGAGAGAGGAGACAAGTCCTGAGAAATGGTGCTGAATGCGAGCGAGAATGTTGGATGATAACGAATGCGAGCGTTGAGACTCACTGTGACTTACCAACTTTTTTATTCGATTCGTTGGAGGAAAATGAGTGGAGTTTGTGTTGTGCTGGTCGTGAAGCGTTGTAAAATGGGAGGAATTCATGTATAGGAATGTTAATGATTTGTAACGAGCTTGCTATGTTCCTTCCCGTCCCGCGTTGCTTCGGCGTCAGGCAACTTTGAAAGGAAAACATATAATCCGTCGGAGATTTTTTTTTTTTTTGTGGTAGATAACCGAAGTCGTGCGTCCCGTATTTGTATCAGCCGAGGTATATCCTTTTTTGTTGTTGTCAGAACGCATAATTTTTGGGGGTCTGAAATCTTTTTTACTGGAATGCATTGTGTTTCTTGACATTACTAGCGGCGCTTTGTGTTTTGTCGAATTGGAATCAATTCGTCCGCGGAATACGGCTTCGTCCAATGTTGTGACCAAGTCTTGTAATGGGCAAAGTTACGACGACCGTCCATCTCTGACCGCCTTTTCGGAACGAGCCGCGTCATCGCCTGCGTGTGACGCGTCCAGATTACTGACGCAAAAGCTGTGGATGTAACAAGTGAAATCTCGTCGTGGACCGTAACATTTTTATAATCTCACGAGTATAATACAAAATATTCCGTAATTAATTACGCATTTTTATTGTGCGGAAGTTGCGTAATCGAAGATGCGGTTAGCAACCATGATCTGTTTGAACTGAGAGACGCATAGGATTGCATACCGTTTGCCTTTGGCTGGCACGGATGCCAGCGGAAATGTGAAGAATTCGTGGGAAAGAATGCTGCCGATGTGAGCCGTTCATACTCCTAGCCGCTAAGTCGAACATAGTTCCAGATGAAGCGAGCAAGAATTCGACTCGGGCGACCGGAGGAAATAACCCGACGCCTGATACAATTTGCTTCCCGACAAGGCAAAATCCGTGCGAGAAGACGAGTGAAACAAATATTTCATTGAACGAGAATGCATAGGTGTGGCCGGTTAAAGTAGCAAAACATGCAATGCATGTTATCTTATGATTACGGACCGACGAAGTGGCAAACATTTAGTGAAGTTGATCAAAATTTAGGCTCGAATTGGAAGTGCATTACAGCAGTCATCATTTTGAACTTTTATTAAGTTCGATTCTGTCATACATACCTTATATACTCTGAGGCCAGACTCCATTAATGGCTGGGTCCGAGAGGAGATCCAGCCAAATAGTAGCCATTCTTGAATACTGTACTGTACAAGAAGAAAAGCGGAAATCAGCCTCAATTGAACAAAATGAAATTAGTTTTTCCCATTCCAAAAAAATTGTACTCGATGTAAAAATGGCTGGTCTTCAATAGAATCTGATGGTCTCCATTCAATGCTGGGAGAAAAATATATTTTTTTGAATAAACCCTCAATTGGATTACAGTACTGAAATTTATATTCTAATCCGAATACATGGCTGCAAAAGCTTTAGCAGAAATAATTGTCATCTGTGCCCATGAACTGATCAATTCAGCCAGTTGTTTTGAATTCAATTCGAATTAAATTTTGAACGGAACAAATTCAATCCATCGTCAACTGTTCGTGCTTACTTGTTTGCTCCCTAATATTGAGACATATAAGTTAGCGTTTTTCCCCGGTGGAAATGAGTTCCAGGTGAAGGGAAAAACAGCCGTTGGGCTGGAAGCTGATTGCAGTTCACGAACAGTCTCACAATTCCGGATAATGAAATTCCGAGCTTGTTAAATTCCTGTACGAGCTTATCCAAGGCTTCAAATTTTACCATATCCCAAGAAATTTCTATGAACTATTTGAAGACTTGAATCACAATTCAGAAGAAAAAGCAGCGGTTTGAAGATTAAAAAACCTACGAACAAATTTGTATAGCGGAATGATTCACGAGCAACTACTGCCTTTGAATGTACAGTACTAACGCGTAAGAATCAAGGAAGCTGTGGATGAAACGTGCGTTCATTTAAGGATGGTGGAATAATCTGGAACATTTTGACACCATACTAACAACAACAGCAGCAAGCCCCTGAGTGTCTGTGTCCGAGTACGTGGTTCAGATAAATTCGGCTATGTTATATTGGCAGTGGGTACTGGGGACGAATGCAAAAATAATTAATTTACTATTGATTGAAATAAAATGGATTGTCCTTCGTTGAAAAAAAAATTCACTATAAACGAGTAATCATGGGCATAAATTGTTCGTAATTTTCCCAGCATCTGTGCGGTACCTCATCACACCCAGTGACATACATGCCGCATATAATTTTTTCGATTTCAAATATTGTACTGCATGCTGTATATGCATTTTCATTGTTTGCACAAATAAAAGGCACTCATTATTCCTGAGTGTGGAAATCAATATAATGCATTGTATCGATCCAATTCGAGTGAAAACCTGAAAAAAATAGAAGTACGCTCAAATTTCTGCAAAAGCGCCAATCCTCAATCGATCGCCGCAATTTTATTTCTGGTCTGATCCGTGCAAAAATAATTTTCTGTGATTTCTTGCATAGAAAGAAAAACATTCAATGCAAAACATGAACGATATAAATGGATGCATTCGTCGAGAGTTATATCAACACAAAAAAGCAGTCACGAAACGCTCATCGATTTCGACCAACACCAGGCATTCAAGTATAAATTAAATGAAGTTGAAAATATTCCCAACTTAAAATCATCGTTATGAAAGCGAAAATCCTTTCACAACACGTTGGAGTTCGTTTGGGAAAATCGAAGTAGAGCTACGAGTAAAATTCTCTAAAAGAATAAACCGACAACCTTTTTTTTTCAAAAAGATGTCAAGAAAAAAGGTTCATTGATATGGTATGTACATTTTATGATATTTGTATGAAGTGCATTTTAAAATAAGATGAATCTATTGTACAGTAATTCCATTGTCTACAGTGGAACTTCGACAAAAAATTCTTAGTGATATATCCTTATATAAAAGAGCAAAATGAAATCACGGTAATAGACATCGGCAAAAGACCGCACTTCGTAAGTTTCATCCACATCAGATGAGCCTTGATTATAGTCACGGTGCTCGGGTATATAGTTTTCTCCCCCCTCCCCTCCGAAATATACGATACATATATCATACCCCTGATTTATCATGATCGTTCATCGGGAAGATAAACACCGGACAGCTGACTAGTTTTACCACAAACAGACACGTTTCTCTCATAGTATTGGAAGTCAGAAATTCTCTTGAATTCGTCATCTTAAAAAAAAGAAGTCCTCAAAATGATGGACATATTACACATTATACAGCACATTGTATATACAATATAAACTATATAAATATGACGACGCTGATTTGAGTTGCTCACACATATCACATACGCAAGCGCGGCGTCTGCAGCTGTAATATTAACCGTCAGATTAACCGCATACAGTATACGTATTTGGCGTCGTATATAATAACCCCGAAAGCTAACGAAGCCCCAAAAATGCCTATTTTGGCGCGTGATCAATTAATGCTTGGTTCACCGGTGTGTATAATTCCAGCTTTCAGCGATAATAGCAGAACACCGTAGCGAAAAGTAAAAATGAGCGCTGGAGTTCGTCGTATAGACGCGACGCAGCTTTCTGCTGCTACTGGGTGCGCAACTGCCTCAGTGGTTCTCGCCCAGCTGCTGCGACATTATTATTGCTGCACTTCGCTGATGACGACGGAGTCTTTATTTATTTTTTAATGTATAAAAGGTCTTCAGCATGTTGACTCCGACTACGATACGTCGAAAATACGATTATGCATGCAATACTGTATAGGTTCAGAAAGCTTCACACCTTTCCGAAATCTTTTCTTCGAAAATCCAAGCGTGAGCCAATTCTCTCATTCAAAAATTTAAACATGAAGAGCAAGAAAAGATTAACACACAAATTTGACGAAATGAGCATATTTTTAAGAAGTTTGGAGGAGCTCACCTTTTATATATGAGCAGGACAAAATATATGATACGTAACCAACAATATCCATTTAATAGGACTCAAGCAGGTTTTATACACCTATATGGTTTCTGGAGAAAAGACTCGAACCAACAAGTCTATAAATAAATATTGCAATCACATTTATTTTATTTTACAATTGCTCTACAGAGAGCCATCATCTATATATATAATGACTCCTACAGAAAATAAACAGAGAATACTGCGATATAAGTGACCTATCAACATCTGCTGCAGCATGCTACTCATATAACGAGGAGTGATCCATCGATTTATGACATTCATCAGTCCACAAAAAAAGGAAAGACTGACACTAATATAGAATTTCTGCTGGGACTTGAAAAAAGTTTGTTATGCCAAAAAATTGTTGTAACAGCATGAGTTGCAATTTTGATACAGTATACATGTACCGTATTTGATCTAATAGACGCCTTCTATCTAATAGAGGCCTATCTTTTATAAACGCTGGGTCACAGAGGGGATTTAAGTGAATAGTAGCCAGCTTCCAATAGTAGCCAGGTCCAAGTAGAGACCTGGCTATTATTGGGGGGGGATGGAACAATTCCCGGGAATTTTCTTGACATAAAAATCCTTCCTGCATTTTTACCCGTCTCTCACACCTTGGCCTTAAGTATAAAACAAAGAATTCCTTTCCCTCCAGCATTTTATGAAGCATTACTGTCTCAATTTCTAATGACCAATGGCAAATCCAAGTTTTCCCCCGAAATTCATTCACCTGATTCCTCTTTTTCTCTTCTCCTCTTATTACCCAGCAACAACTGCCACTGGAAATAATTGCCGGTCTCTAAAAGATGCCGGTATCTATTAAACGCCTGGGGAAAAAATAGAAAATTGCAAATAAACGCCCCGGCGTTTATTGGAACATATACGGTATGTATATACTGTACTGTATATAGATATGGCGGACTCCAGTTGGTACAGTACTTTATACTGGTCGGCTCCGGGATGCCAGGTTTTCCTAGCGTATTGCTATGCATCATTGCGATCCCAAGTGCAAGGCAAGACAGGACTGCCCTTATCATCATGGGTCCCGGGGTTTAAGAAATTGAGCGCTGTTCTGGAGGAGCAGGGAATCAGAAAATAGCAGCACAGCAGCAAACGTGATTATCCATGCCAACGCGGCCCCCCGCTGCGGAGCTGGTGTTCTTGGTTCTCCACGACTTTGCAGTGAACTCCACTTGCAGGCTGGCGGGCACACAGGGACGATGGTTTCTGGGTGGAAAAGAACAAGAGGACCATGCATTTGATGCAAAATTTTAGATCATTTGGCACAGTTGAACCTCTCACAGTAAAATTTGAAGAGACTCAAAAATAATTCGACCCGGAGGATTTTCTATAGATCGATAATTTAACTTTATTTCATTGGGTTAATTAAGCTTTCTGCAGCAGCGGAGCCAGCAGGATTTCTTCTCCAAATTTGATCAATATCGACCCTTCAAAAGTTAAATACTACAGTCTTGAGGGTAAAAAATAAGCACCCTGGATGAGATAAAATTTTTTTTTGCAATCCCAAAACTTTTTTGCATAGAGAAAAATGCAAATAATTCCTAACTTGGGCCCCATTGACCAGCTCAATGTACTGTATCTCTTTATGCGAGAAATTTTAGGGATTACAAAAGAAGCTCTCCCACCAAAGATGCTTTTTTAAACCCTCAGCTACATGATTAATTATTGTGTATATCTTACACATATAGCCACTTTTTTCATTCGTCTTACCTATAAATGATCCCTGACTCTGGTCTATATCATTTTTTGATGAGCTTTGGTCAAACTGAAATGCAGAAGCTTGGAAAAATCCTGGCATTGCCATGTGGTTTATTTATATATACAGCATACGAGGTTTCATTGCATGCAAGTACTGTTCTAGGTTTTCCTTTCTCTCAATCCTCATTGGGATGCAGTACACCTTCCTGTTTCTTCTTGGTTAATTACGACTTCACGAGTTCGAGTAAAATTACGCAATGCAGTCGTCGGAGTGCTGGAGAAAATAAAAAAATCGTAATTAATGTTAGATGATAATAAATAATCCCAATGGCCTCAGCACAGCTTTTTATGTGCGGCTAACAGCAATACAGTATATTTACAAATGACCTCACTTTGGCTCGAATTTGAGAACTCACAATATACTCAATGCATATCCTGCAGGACAGATTTTATCAAAAACAAATTGAAGCATCCATTTTAGAGGGTAAAAAGTTTGAGACCCGTGGGTATTTTCGATGAGTACTCGTATTTCCTCGTTCAGAAATATGGCCATATTTCTGACCTCTTCTCCTTTTTTTGCTTCATCTGACGCAATTCATTTGTCACTGATCTGCAGTTATCATGCGTAATTGGAAAAAAAAAATTCTGCGAAGCACTACAGTTTCCCCGAGACAAAATTCAACACAAAGTTGCCAATTTGGTAATTTATGAAAGTCGTTGTAATTAACATATAAAAATAACGCTTATCCCCTCATTATCTAAGCCTTGTGAATAAATAAGGAGCACCTGAACGCGATCTCATTTTCAGAGTATAACATTGCACATATTAATTTTTATACTGCATCAGGGCTTGTTAGCGTATCTCAGATTCATTAAGATAACGGTGTTAATCCACTCGGATATATTCTCGTTCATCCTGCTCACCTGAGAACATGACATCAGCTTCCGCGAACCCAAACTTGTTCCCGGCTTTGCAAGTGTAATTCCCAAATTGGCGCTTCTCCGCACTCAAGACTGTCAATGTAGTGGATGTTATT